TCACGTAGTCGCAGTCATTGACCAGAGTCGTCCTGGGCTCAACCTGCTGGCAGATGATAGGACAAGTGTTCGTCTCATCTTGGCACCAGGCCTCTGCAGCTTGCTGTTAGCATCTGTGTTCACATCCCACACTCTCCATCGCGGTGGAGCAGGACTTGGGGGTAGAATAACGCACTTCTTGTGGCCAGAGGAACGGACTTGGGTTCGATAACGTAGTCGGCCTGGGCGGCGGCGACGAAAGCCGCAGCGACGGCGAAGACGGTGCTCTTAAATGAAGGCATTGTGTGTGTCGTGTGTGTGAGTGCTCGGTGATCGACTCGAGGTGTTGATGTGGGAGGATAGAAAAACGGAGCTCTCAACAAAGAATTGGAGAGCTAGATAGCCAGGTATTAATATCAACTGCTGTTATTGCGTTTCCTGGTCAGCAAAAAGCCATATTTGTGGACAGAAGCAACATTTCTGTATGCTGCATTCCTAAACTCTTTCCACAGCCTCATTGCTCCACATTGGCTTCGACAGCTGTTTGAGTAGCACATGGCTAGAGGGAGGCGAGTCTTTGGGGGCGAAGGCGTCAGGAATGGGACGGAGTCGACTTACGGACTAAAGGGGTTGTTGACTTGAGCGAGAGCCGTTGCTGGCGGAGAGAAGAGCCGTCGTCCAGAAATGTATTAGTGGTAGCGAAAGGCGGAGGGACTGGTCCTATGAGCGGGCACAAAATCGAAACTAGGAACAGCGAAGTTGTCGAAGATCTCTTGTATAAAACGAGAGCAAGAGATTATATGTGCGAGAGGGGCGGATAAGACACAGATGAAGGGCAGAAGCAACTTTTTCGACTGTGTAACGAGAGGCAAGACACACGGGCTGGAGGGTGAGGAGGGAGAAGAAGAAGAAGGAAGTGAGTCGTGAGAGAAGCTGACGGGGTTAATATCAAGCAAAAACTCAGGCTCAGGCGTGTGGTGCTCCGTTAGAATTAGCCGTACCTTGGCTAGCTCGGTCGAGGCGAGAGGAGAGGGCCCGTGGAGAGCACGCAGCAGAAGCGGCGCCTGGGCAGGAAGAGGAACCAAGCGGAACATGGCATGGAGGAAGCCATCTTGCCTAGGCTAGCAATGCTGGGTGGTACTGTGCATACATTGCCGTACAGTAGCAGATAGGCAGGCCACAGGCGTCCGTCCGGGGTGAGCTTCTTCCGCACAAGGTCGAAAATAAAGGAGGCCCGGGGGTCCCTGACCACAACGCCACGGGCTCGCGATATCGAAATGGAGAGAACGGGCGGGATTGGGTTTAGCTCGTCTCCATGCCAGCCACCCGGCGTATTTCCTGCTGGATGGACAGGGCCAGGGTTTGTCGGGGTCTGTTCGCCGACTGCCAATCACGAGGCCGACTTTGCTCAGAATGGAGACGTCGTACCATTGAGTTGAGAATGTGACCGTAAACTCGTGGAGTCACCACCTGGGATCCATCCATTCTATCGTCGACTCTGGAGTCTGTACCGATTTCTCCGTATCCTTGGTAGATGTGATGTCTCTGATGGGCAAGAGACAGTGGCCGTGTCCGTAGATTCTCCCCCTCCGTCTCAGCACGGCATGTTTGATTCTCCCTCTTGGGCGCCCGTTGGTACCTACGGATGGGCAGTTTGCCCTGATTTGTACTAAGACCCGCTCCACGACGGCATTTGGACGGCTCAGAGATACCCTAGAGTGCCAATCCCTCAACTTCAGGCAGGTCGGTCAGTCAGGAGGCTCCAACAGCCGTGGCGACGTGCCAGGCCAGGGTGATATTCTTTCGGGGGTTGTGGCCCAGGGTCAGACAGGGCTTCTTGGTGTTGTTTTTTCGGTGGAGTTGAGGCTTGGGTGGAGGATGGAAGGGTTCAGCGACCTTCTAATTAGGCAGGGATTGGACGAGGTTACTCTGCAGCTCCCAGGGTCTCTGCACTCTGTCTGCAGCACCGATGGCACCAGGGTGCCAGTTAGTATTGCTTTGCCCGCTCCGCTAACGAGATCGGGTGTCCATTGTTGCCCGGAGATGAATCTCCTCTCCACAAACCGATATTCTCTGAGTGTTCGTCTCTTCGTCTGCGGCGGCAGTCTGCACTGCAAATGTCTAATGCTGATGCCGACATTTGATGCAGACGCGGATGCGGACGCGAATGCAAATGCCCTAATCATGTTCAGTTGAGATGGAAGGCCCGAGTTCCCTTGCAGTTCCTCATTAACATGCTGCCCCGGGCCACATCAGGATGGTGGTAGAAGTAAAGGGCCGGCTTGTCCGCCCATCGCCATTGACAATTGTTGATCCCATCAATGATCAGCGATCCGTTCACTAACGGCTCTGCGTCCATGTCTGTCAACCCACGGCCAATTCCAGCCTCGCGCTCGCTGTGCCGTCCATGCTGTGCATAGGTGCTAAAAGCAGGAGTCAGCATTCCCGCGCTCGCCCGTATCCTGAGCAGCGAGAGACATCCTGACGACGACTCCGTGTCTGACTTGTCGGTCAAGCCAGTCCAATCCCTAGCCGGGGGTTTTCTCAGTTCTCAACTCACTCCCCTACTATCAAAGTCAGTCGAATTCCCACTTGGATGCCGCTTTTTCGCACATCGGATGACCGGCCCCATTGTTGATTACGAGGTTGCAGAACAGACTAGAGCTGTCTTGCTCTCCATAAAAACGGAAACACCAGCGGGCGAATTCGACGGTGATCGGAGCCAAGGCTCCTCTGCCTGCCCGCCCAAGCAGCCTGATGTTCGTGTGCTTGTGGCTAACAGCAGTACCCCCGCGGCCAGACGGCGGCGACGGCGGCGGCATCCGGGTCTCGTGCAGTAAACTTCTGCCAAACAGGCCAGACCCCTCTTCCAGGCCCCTCTTAGCACACAACTTTACGAGACCACCATCGCCCTGCAAGTTGCAAAATGCAGATGCCGCGAGACAGGAGCTGGTGCAGCCGCCCCCTTTGCCCTGGCGGAACCGCCTCCGATTGTTCCAACCGCCGACATTTTCCTCAATGTTGGACACCACTTTGCCTTGCTGATGTCGCTGTTTGCGGCTATCCCGCTGGAGTGATCGCCACTCGTATTCTGCATATCGAAGCCCTCCCCCGCGGGCGTTGTGCAGGTCAACGACGCAGCTAGTCCTGCAGTCTAGAGTGCCTCGGGCGAGGCCATTGTTTGAAAAGTGATACACGGCACCAAAAGGAAACGCACAGCGCGGCGTGAAAAGAACAGAGAGGTTGGAGAACCAAGGTGGCTGGCACCGTCGGGGCTGTAGCGGTGTCTTTGCTGATGACGGCTCCGAAGCCCAGTCCGGTGTCACGCCGTTCAGAAACCCCCAAGAAGTCCGCGTGGCAGTCAGTCGAAACAAAGTCAGGCCGGGCGCTGACACGAAGGGACTATCAATAACTGAAAAAAGCCGTTGGACGTCACGAAGACACCGTCGTGTTCGTGATGGACGTTTTAGCCCTAGATACCGCCACAACTGGATGTGTCAAGCTGTCAACAACTTCCGCACTTGCATGCGTCCTCTTCTTCCTCCATCGTTGGTTCCTCGTCTGATGCGATGAACCGGATGCAGTCCTCTAGCTTGACGCAGTTGCAGCAGCCGTGGTTGCAGCAGCCGTGGTTGCAGCAAGTACCGAGGAAGCTTCCTGGCCGCCAATGAGGGGGCACCGGAGTAGACGACGTTCAGATCGTAATGGGCGCCCAAAGACCCTGGTCAGCGAGATGCACCCTCCAACTCCTCCACCTCCACTCGGGTCTTGGTTCTGCAGCTTCGTATCCGCACCGATGACTTGGACCAAGATGCCATGGCGCGGGGGAACAGCGCTTGTGTCGAGTTGGATCTGGATTGGACCCTCGTGCTGCCAGTGTTCACCTCTCTTCAAGGCGCCACAACCGAAACTCTGGGGGGGCATCCTGGTGAATCGTCAGTGTCACCTCGCTAGGACTCCTGGGCTGGTCTATTTTGAGCAGAGACCCGAGAACGGCCTATGATGGCGAGACCAGCGATGCGTGGCGAGCAAGATAAGACAAGCGATGTGCCCATTCATGAACGAACATTGGGAGACGTCCTTCCCTGCTGCTGGTGTTTTGCAGGCTTTGCTTGGGAGTGCCGTGATATGCAGCGTGCGGTTGTACGTGCAGTTTTCATCCAATGGCAGCTCGCGCACTTACCACTCGACTGTCGTCTGATGGCACCAAACAGACTTTTCGACCGATATTGGCAATCGCAATCGATGCGCACCTGCCCGCGTATTCGTAGGGATTCAACTCGAAATGGACCCTTGAATCCGGCAATTGCCTTACCTAAGCGTATCTTTCCGCGGGAGGGGTTCCCCTTTCAGCACATGATCCCAGATACCTGACCTAAGGTACTTTACCAAAGGGAAGGAGCGAACGTTTGTTTGGTGGTAGGTAAGGTTAGGTATGGTAGGTGCGCCTCTCGTTCTCGCTGTTGTTTTCATTGTTTTGATACCGCAAAACAAACAACACCCAAACTTTCATCCCAAGCATTGCTGTAATTGTGCACTCTGATCCCGCCCGACCTTGGGCGTAGCCAGTGATCAACTTGCGCGCCTTATTTCGCTTCATTTGCGAGCCTTATTTCCCGATCCCCTGCTGCCAAATCTCAACTTGCCATCTCGATACCACGGCCCGACCTAATTGCCGCCCGCACGTAGCATCGCCGGCCTCAACAATCAGACTGTCGAGTGCTAGCCAAGCAAGTACTTGTAGCTTCTAGCCCGCTCTCAATTCGATTGGTGCACAGCCACGCGGACCCTACCACCCAACCGGACCGCGGAGTCTAAGAAGCGCCCCAAGACAAGTCTTTCGTTCCCTTGGGCCTCGACATCGTCAATACGTCACTTATTCTCACGCAACGAGACACACGGACTTGCACCTGCGCAAACCACCAGACCACAACTCTCCCGAGATCCGCAATCACAATCGAGAAAACAGAAAAGACCACGGCGCCCGTCCATGAGGTAGCGGTCGCTCCGCACATGGATTTATGGACTCGGCGGTAGAATCCCAATTCCGCACCAATGGCACCTTCCCCGCCACCGACCTGAACGGCAGCCATCCGAAAGCTTCGCCCAAGGTCACAACGTCGAACGGAACCATCGCGGGCTTGCTGTCGCGCCAGAACAATGATGGTACACGCGGGGGGTTATTCGGGGATGAGGAGGATGACGAAACATCTTCGGGCGGCCCTGCGTCGTCGGTGACGAGCCCATCGTCAGTGACGTCGCCCCCGTACTGGTTGAACAATCACCACCAGCGCTCCGTCTCCAACATCTCGGTCGAGTCTGTGCTGCCCGCCGGCGCGATCACGATGCACGACAATGAAGCCAGCGACGGAAACGACCGGAACCGCGCGTGTTGGGCCAAGAGCGTCGAGATCACAGATTATGTCATAGTCAACGGCAGCGCGACGAACATTGGGGCTTTTGTGGTATGGAACATCAGAGTTGAAACGCTACAAGTAGGTGACCTGCGCAGGCCTTGGCCACCTGGAGGCTTGAGGTATCTTGGAACTGGGCCCGACGCTGACAAAGGTGAACAGGGCAGCTATATGAACATTCGCAAGCGATACTCAGAGTTCGACGACCTTCGCGAGAAGCTCGTCACGTCGTTCCCCAATTTCGAGGCGGCCGTGCCCCCTCTACCGCCCAAGAGCGTGATATCGAAATTCAGACCCAGATTCCTCGACAAGAGGAGATCGGGGCTGCAGTACTTTCTCAAGTAGGAAATCTCGGAGCCCTGAAATGACGAACGTTGATGCTAACTAGCGGCAGTTGTATAATGTTGAATCCCGAGTTCTCTGGGTCGCCAGTACTCAAGGACTTTCTCTTCTCATAAACATAGTGTCTAAATACCTATCCTCTATTTTTTACCCTATTTTTTTTTGTATATCTTCTGAGCTCCTGCAGCACGGCACGGAGATGGCCGTAGCTGATCGCGGGGGCGCAGCGGCGGGCCCCCAGTCTCCAGCGCAGAAAAGTCTGCGAACCAGCGGGGGGGCCAGTTGCACATATATAGCGGGCTGAGATTGACCCGAATCATGAACAAATGAACAATAATGATAATGTTTCCGTCTAGGAGACCAAAATATATCAGATCCTCAGGGCTTCAACGCCCGATTACTGAACGTTGACCCCCTTCGAGATCGCGGGACCCTCATCGGTGGCCGCCAAGGCCGTTGCCGCCAGAAGTCTCGGCGGCCGCGGGGGGGCTTAAGTGGGGCAACAAGAAGCACCAGCTGGGTGAGCTGCCGTTTTGGATCTTCTGGTCGGGGCCGTGGCTGTGAAGTGCCCTGTGCTTGCTCTGTTGGTTTTGCTGGTGGCAGAGTGTTTGCTGTGCTGTCAGCTGGGCGAGGATCGTGGTTGGAGAGCATTTCCCCCGCAAGACTGACTAGGACGCGTAATGTTTAACAGGGCTGGAAACTTTTGGTGGGGGTTGGTGACCGTTTGGCGCCCTTCCAAGGCGGACCAAGACCGTCGTGAGCGCCCAATGCAGCCCAGTCTCAGTCTGTACGTAAAAGATGGCATGCGGTTGAGAGATCGTCTACCAGCAATGCCTCTCTCTGCCGATGAGCTAGTTAGCTGTAAGGTGGCCGTGGTCTGCTATTTCGGGGTTTCCCTGTCTATTCCGTTGGCCCTTTCGTCTAGACAGCCACACCTAGACTGATTGGGTCGTCGAGTTTGCCTATCGGGTTGGCTGGATAGCATCTCACTGGCTTTCTCGGTCTGCACAAGCCACAGGCACCTTCTTCAACAATTAGACGGACTGCGGGCGGGAGAAGAGGCCGCAGGAACCAAGTTACGCATCACGGCCGCGCACCCAGGGGCAATCCGGGATCCCGAAGGCATCAGCGCATCCCGTCGCCGTCTTCGTCCACGGGGTTTCTTTCAACTTCTTGGTCAAACGAGTGTGCTGAAATGTGTTAGGTTGCGTCACAGCCCAGCATTTACACGCCAGCAGTCGTCGGCTGAGCAGCACACACCTTGTTGCTTCGCTGGGTAATATGGAGAAACAAGCCCGCCCCCAAGCCGCTTGCTGACAAGGATGGCCCGTGGTATGATGCAGGGCGATGTTTATTGTCCTGAGATTTCCTCTTCTTCTAGAAGGGGACGCCGACCTTTCCTATCCTACCCTATCCAACGTTCCCACCAGCTCTAATATATTTTAGTGATTGAGAAAGGGTCTAACCGTCTCGGCAGATTCTTGACTACTCTTGACTGCGTTCTCGACACGCCCATCTTCGCAGTACTTTATCTACTACATCTGGCCCCCTTCTCTTCGATATGCTTACTTCAACCCCATAATTACCCATGACTGGCCGACCTTCAAAGACTCTTGTTCAAGTTCCAGACGACACATATTGACCCCCGCCTTACACTGCTGCAGCCTCACTAAAACAGCCTTTAACATTGGAAACATCAGTCAACAAACAATACGCCTCGATTTCGCAACAACCTACATCCCGACGAGGCACCAACCAAGCACCACCACCACCACCACCACTACCACAAATCATAGTTCCGACTTGGAACGATCAGAAGACCGGATGCTCGCCCCAGCCGGCTCTCGGGCCAGATCCCTCTCCTTTCGCCTTCGTCACAACCGGGCAGACCCCGCAGACGTAGGCGCAGTGGCAGCGTTGGCAGCAGCCGCAGCCGTTGCAGCGCCCACAGCGGCAACGGCCATGATGACGAAATTCGACCCCAGCAACCGCCGCTATCCTGCCGTCGGACCCGAATCCGAAGAGGAACCGGCTTCTGAACAGCTGCAGCACGAGCACCAACTAAACACTCAAAAGGACGACGAATCTGGACCCCAAAGGACCCCTCCTCTACAGCACCAGCAGCACCAGCACGTTTCCTGCGCCGCAATTACCCCGCCGGCGAGCCCTCCCGTGCCAAGATCGTCTGCTGAGGATTCCATTTCCCACCACCCAGATTGCAACTTTTCTGCAACGGCGGCGCAGAGTGACGACACTTGCTCGCTCGCGCAGTCCCACACCAGCACCAACCTCAGTTCGCGACAGGAGTACATGGACAGCCTCGTCCCGCCGTCGCGCGACGAATTCGAAAAGATTGCAGAGGTGCAGCGCGAGCGCGAGGAGGAAATTAAACTCACACACCGCACTTCCAAGAGGAGATCGATGCAGAGCCAGCAGTCGCATTCGCCCCGGCACTCTGAAGATGCCGGGGCCGGGGTCGAGGCGCCTCTGAAGTCGCCAACAACGAGAAATAGGAGCGATAGTGAAGCGATGAAGAACGCCGCGGCGCTCATCCAGCGTAATTACCGTGGCTATAGAGTGAGGCGAGAGATGAAGGGCTTCGGGCTGGATCCGATGACGAGGTGGATGTCGGCCATCGAGGAGATGCGGTTTCGCGAGATGAACAGGCCAAGGGCAAAGAGCTCTGCGGCACTGTCTGTCAACGGCGGCGACGAGCATAGTGTGCTGTCGCGGGACTCGGATGGCGGTATGAAACCGACAACGGCGCGGGACAACTGGAGGAAAGCGGCGACCATAGCGCGGCGCGCCGGCCACGACGACACCGATTCCGAGGCCGAATCCTCGTCCTCGTCGGATGATTCTACAGAGTCGCCCGAGCAGAGGGCCGAGCGGCGGAAAAGACGTGACGAGGCCATCGAGAAGCGCAAGAAGGATTCCAAGATGATGGGCCTGCAGTACTTCCTCGAGATGGTCGACCTCAAGCATCGCTACGGCAGCAACCTGCGCGTGTACCACGAGGAGTGGAAGAAGTCGGACACGAACGAGAACTTCTTTTACTGGCTGGACTACGGTGGTGGCAAGAACGTAGAGATGGAGGCATGTCCGCGCGACCGGCTCGAGAGAGAACAGGTCAGATACCTATCGCGAGAGGAGAGACAGTACTACCTGGTGCAAGTCGACTCAGAGGGGCGGCTCACCTGGGCGAAGAACGGCGAGCGCATCGACACCACTGAGTCCTACAAGGACAGCGTCCACGGCATCGTCCCAGCCGACGACCCCACGCCCGCGTGGTCGCAGACTAACCTCCCTCCCGCAGAGGGCCGCGACGTCGACGATAGCCGCTCCGAGTCGTCCGTCGAGTCGGCCCTTGAAGCCGACCGCGCCGCAAAGTACGCGACGCCCGACTTCGACGGTGCCACGGGGATGAAGAAGGTCTCGCACATCTCGGCGACGACCGTCTTCAACAAGCTGCTCCGCAAGTCCGTCAAGAAGAACACGTGGATCTTCGTCGCGGACACGAGCTTCCGGTTGTACGTCGGCATCAAGGCGTCGGGCGCCTTCCAGCACTCGAGCTTCCTGCAGGGCAGCCGCATCTCGGCGGCGGGGCTGATCAAGATAAAGAACGGGCGGCTGTCGAGCCTGTCGCCGCTGAGCGGGCACTACCGCCCGCCGGCGTCTAACTTCCGCGCGTTCGTCAAGTCGCTCAAGGAGGCCGGCGTCGACACGTCGCACGTGTCCATCTCCAAGTCGTACGCGGTGCTCGTCGGGCTCGAGGTGTACGTCAAGTCGCACCAGAAGAGCAAGAAGGCGCTCGAGAAGCTGTCGCTCAAGAAGGAGAAGATTGTGGCGCCCGAGGAGTTCAAGAAGCGCGAGGAGGACGAGATGGACAAGAGCGAGAGCGCGGCCAAGGAGCGCAAGGTGCTCGAGAAGGAGGCCGAGGAGCGGGAGGAGAACCGCGCCGCGGTGAAGCTGATGCGCAAGCTGAATCTGCAGCCGAGCGAGCCCAGGGGCCAGAGGGAGGGGGAGCCGGCGATGGAGCCTCTGGCCGAGGAGAGGACGAGGGAGGAGAGGGCTGCTGGGGGCGTTTAGTCGACGCTATGCTGCTGAAGGTTTGGCATGTCGGGATCAGGATCGAAAAGGGTTTGGATCATGGGCGGGCTGGACTTGTGTTTTTGGAAGCTGCTTTATACCCATTCGCTTGCGTTGCGCTTTCCCCTTTGATGGATAGACATATGAGTAGATGAAATGTTTAATGATTCTACATGAGGCTATGTGTTCGTCGCGTTGCGTGAGGAGGTCACGCCTCATAGAGGCATGGCTACATCCGAGGACTATTAAAACGTGTCCCTTGAAGGCAAAAAAACACTGCAAGACTGTGATTGGGAAGTTGGTTTCTACTTTTCCCTTTCCAACAAGACTGCAAGCGGCCGCTGTCAGTCGTTGAAGTCTCGCCGGATGAGTGCGTTCTACCGTTGAAGATGGAGGAAACGCTGTCTGACCTGATATTTAAGCTGTTACATCACGGATACCAAGCAATGTATTACTTCAGAATCATGTTGGCCGACGTCGGCTGGGATCCCTGTGTGTACATGACGGAGATATGATTGGACATATGTCGCAGACCTATCCCAGAACTCAGTGCCACGTAGATTTTGAGGTTCTAAGAAGACGTTTCGTGCATACATGCACTTGAAAACTCCACCAACTTGGTGTAACGTATGGGTAGCCAGCCTATAAGTTTCCACGGAAGTCTGTGCCTGCTATGAGGACGTAGATGGTAATACCTAACAAGAACTTGTCCGTTACTAAAAAGTCAATACATATCGTATGAAAACCAGATGGGTCTTAGTAGAAGAACATCTGGCTTGGGGTAAATTCAGAGTCTTTCCACCCGTATCCTTATTGCAATTTGGATTACTTCATCGCATTTGAAGCCGGATACGGTCAAAATAACTACGATAGAAGTAAGAAGAAAAGCCCATTTCTCAAGAACCATGAAAATCCCAAACCTTCCTTCCGGGTGCCGTCACTGACTTCTCAGGGTAAAGCAACATCTATGGTATCTAGGCAAATGCATTAGTTCCGCAAGGCTATTGCACACTGTTCTTGCCAATCC